GGTTTTCTTTTTAGGAGTCGATAAAAGAAATGATGGGGCTGAACCCAGTCTTTATAAGACCAGGTGTCCGTGTCCCACAGTATCAGGAGAATGATGAGGCATTCTAGAAGTTGCTATGAAGACCACCCATGTTTTCTGTTCTCTTCTGACAGTACCAACATACTTCAGAGCAACAAATAATTTTTAAAATGTCCATCTTTCCTAGAAACAGGTTAAATTATGTGTGGGAGTAATTTCCAGCTCTTCACCAAACCTCTGGTTCCTTTTCTTCCCAGGCACACACAGCTAGATGACCCTTCCCAGGCACCCTTGCAATTCAGTATAGTCACGTGACTAGCTCTCACCAATAAAATGTGAGCAGAGGTGATGTGTGTTACCTCCTGGCCAAGACTTTACAGCAACAAGTGTGGCCGTTCCACACACTTTCTTTCTGCCTGCGGAGGACAAGTGGCAAAGGAGGCAGCCAATGGAGGAATAAAAAACAGAAGACAGGGTTCTCCGAAACTATGTGTAGAAGAAAAGTACCCACCCACCAGGAACACCCACACTGGACTGAGATATGAGCAAAACCTCTATTGTGTTTGAGCCATTATACATTTTGGGGTTCATTTGGTATGGGAGCTAGGTCTATACTAACCAATGCAACCAATATATTATGCTTATGAGCATTTAATCACTTGAATGGCAGAATTCTAGGCCTTTTGCCTGGAAAATACAAGAGAAACTAGTGGAAAGTGGAGTAGGAAGGAAGAATGATGTGAATAACTTCAAACAGTTACTGCATATATTATATATTTAATTTCAATTATTCCTCACAACTACTTTAAGAAATGGTGCCGTTATTATACCCCTTGCTTGGATGTGGAAACTGAGGCAGAGATGTAGCACTCAGGAAGTGGAGAAGCTGTGATTCAAATCCACAGCCCAATCCATGCTCCGGTTGAGCATCTGCTGCTGTGCACTAGGCACTTTATACAATTTCATCTTCACACCTCGTACTCAGGGCCTTCTTGTCCCCATTTTAAAGATGTGTAAAGCTGAGATTCAACAAAGATAAATGATTTGTTCCAGGTTACACAATGAGAAAGAATCAGAGCCTAGATTCAGGCTAAGGTCTGAGTGGCTCTAAGGTCTCAGGCTCATTCTAAGGTTCCCTCATACCACTGAGGTCAGAATATTGCAAAGGGGGAAGGTCATGAAGAATGAGCTTCCCTCTATTTATGGGCCCCAGATGCCTCGCGGTTGATCTGTTAGGTCTGTGACCATGTGACCACTGCAATCATGGCTGTTCGCCAGCTTTGCAGACACGGGGGCTTCTGCCAAATGGTGTTCACCAGATCCCCCCAGCATAACATTGCAGCTATTTTTTTTCAATACTGATAATGAAATAGGCCATCTTTGCCACAGCCTTACTACATGGAAAGTACCATCAGCCAGTGTTGGATCAGTTGTGTTCAGGCCCAAAGAAAGAAGAGAAGTCAGGAGTATGAAAAGTAATTATTTCAATGAATAAAGGGGTTTTGTATAGTGAGAGTTATAGTAGAGCCCAGTTCACAAATCTACCTCAGAAACTCTTTAAAGTCAAGGAGAGCTATCGAAAATCTTATTTATATAAAAACTTCCTAATCAAACAAGAAAAAGTATTAAGGGAATGCCAGGGCTGATCAGTACACTGGAACTGACTTAGACAAAGATGGAAAGAGGGAAACAGGTATAACCCCCAGGCAATGAAGAATGAGGAGCCAACTCTGTCCCCATGCGTGGCTTTTTCATCTGGATGGCCCACCCTCCCGTGACACCCCTCCTGGCCTCTACGAGGCCAGCCTCACAAGGGCTACTTGGCACATAAAGGACTCCCTCAAAACACAGCCCCACCCCTTTTCCCTCCTGACTAGAGTCTATATCTAGGGGCATAGTTCATGCTGGAGGCTCCCAGTGGGACAAGTTGGTGGCATCCTACAATCTCCTGACCTATGACATGAATCTGAAACACCAACACCATTTTGGGATCGGAGAGCCACAATCCCATATCCATTCATCCACTTGACAGACATGTGTAATTGGGAGATGGCACTGAGGACCCTGAAGGAGCTGGAGCTCCTCCTTATGCAGAGCCAGCTGTGCCACTGCAGAGACTGCAGAGGAACAGCCGGGGCGGCCAGGGTGCCCAAGGAGGCGCCCATCATGCTCTCAGGGTTGCCCAGGACCAGGGCTGCCACAGCAGCAGCCCAGGGTGGTCCTAGAGCCCTAGGAATGGCAGGAGGAAGAGGTTCCCAGATGATCACACTCTTCCACATGCACAATCAGGAGAATGGGAAGGGGAGCCCCTTTGCCCCCACATTTCCTCTAGTCATGCCCATCCATTCTACAGACGGTATCTAGAGTGAGTCTTTTCTCAATTGACCAGGTCACTTTCAATTGCTCTTAGGATTAACACCAAACTCACTACTGTGGCCTACAGGACCCAGCAGGGGCCCTGCATACTCCTGTAACCCCAAGTTATTCCATTGTGCCACCCATCCGTGCTCTCTGGAGCTAAAAGTCTGATGATTTTATAGCCTATAAATTCCAAGAGGACTAAGTTCACATCTTTTCACTCACTATTCATACCAGCACTTAGCTTATTTGCCTAATATATTAATAGATGGTGTTCAATCAGTGTTGTTTGGTTGATTGAATGACTGACTGACTGAAGAGCCAATATTCCAGCAACAAAGTTAGGTGAGTGCTGAGGCAAATAATTTCTGTGATTGCAGCCCAAGTCCTTACTTTCCCCACAGGTGGGATGGCATAGAGAGGGCACAGTGTGCACCCCAGTGTTAAAGGTTAACAACAACAAAGCCTTCCATCAAAGCCTTCTTAGCAGACACACTAACAGAAGCAAGTTTCACTGATTCAAATGGTCTTTAGAGAGGGGTGGGAAGTGAGCCACCAAATGAATGTAAGAAATGAAATTTCACTGCTCATCTAGCCTTAAAATGACTTAGAGGAGCACTACCAGTTTGATGTTTCAGTCTCCCCCCTTTTTGCAGTGACAGTTACAACCAAGGGTCAGGAACATGAGGTAGGAGTCCTGAGGGAAACCCCTCTGCCTGGCTGCCAGCGGGGTGCCAGGAAATCCAGTACGTCCAGAGGTTTCGTGAGTCAGCCTTGGTCAGGGTTCACTGCCAAGCAGCAAAAGGCCACAGCCCTAAGTGGAGGAGAACGTTATCTCTTTTCTGATAAGACTGGATATGTGGAAGTTTTGATTTTAGTTCTTTCCCTATGACAGCAGGCTCTAGGACCTGGTTCCTCTCAGGATGGATTGAATATGGCATAACCTGGAGGGGATAAGGAAGGGTTGGAAGCCAGATGAGTCACAGTTGGGGAGGATTACAGGCAGCCCAGGTGCGCCAATGTGAATAAGGAAGTATTTCCCAAATTATAGAGGGAAAAAAATGGCCCCAGATTTAAAGAGGCGGCAATAATGAACTAACAGCACATGTGAATTGAGTTTATGTTGGTGATAAAAAGGTGGTTTGACATAGGTCCAGGGGTCCTCAAATTATGGCCCGTGGGCTACATGCAGCCCGCCGAGGACATTTATCTGGCCTGCTGGGTGTTTTTGCCACCGCTGCCCGTCCTGCTTAGCAGCCAACTGGTCCTGGGCCCACAGTGCGCATGTGTGGAATGTGCAAAGCACTCTCTAACGGCCCTCCAACGGTCTGAGGGACAGTGAACTGGCCCCCTGTTTACAAAGTTTGAGGACCCCTGCAACAAACTCCTGCAAAACCATGTGTGCAGCATTACTGTCTTTTAATCACAGAATTTAAAGATTAAGTCTGAGAGTGATGTTGTTTACAAGGAAGCAGGGTTTTGCTATATTTTCCAGCCCTTGTACAACATGAGAACATGCTGTCTAGCCTTTGCTTGGATACTCAGGCTGACAGGTGAACAACTGCTATTTAAAAGACCTGCTAGGGAAGCCCCAGACATTACGCGATAGATTGGAAGATTGGACACACATTCGATGAGTTTTGCTCATGACTAAGCTCATGCTCTCTACACAGGAGTAGGCAGTTTAATTTCAACACAGGATTTTCAAATTTATCTTCAACTCCCACTGTCTCCTACCTACTAAGTTCTGCTATTTGAAAAAGAGTTTATTTTGAATGTTCCCACATTCGTAGAGTCAATCTAAATTGCCCAGAGGTGAATAAGTAAGTTTCAAAGCTTAAGCATGGCAAGAAGTATATACATAAAATTAAAAAACAGCTTATGGAGGGGTGGCAGTGGAAAAGGGAGAAAGACAACGGAGCCAATAAAAAAAATCAACATATTAGAAGAGGGAATAGTTTGAAATTACATAGTAACATTTAGATGCCAAATTTTGTCTACTGAGACATGGCAGATCCCGAGAGTTCCACCTTGCTAGACCAGTTTGCTGCTGCTGAAGCAGAAACAAAGCAGAATGCAGAGATGTGAATTCCAATAACAGACCCTCAGCCTAGAGCAGTGGTTCTCAGCCCAGCTGCTCAGGAGAACCACCTGGGGAGCTTTTAAAACCACAGTACTCAAGTTCCAATCCCAGAGATTCAGATTTCATTCCTCTAGGAAAGGGCATCAGTATTCAAAAGCTCCCGAGGTGATTCCACTGTGAGCTAAGACTGGGAAGCCCTAGACTACGGATGGAGGATACAGATGAGGAGGGTAAGGGAGAGAGAGAGAGCACACACACAGATGGGCATACATGCTCCATTCAGCTCAGAAACTGGGGAGAGTAAGAAACCGTAAGAACAAGTTAAATTTTGCACCAAGTGATTTATATAATGTTTAGCATTCAACGTGGAATTATGGTACTTATACCATTTTTATGCTTCCAGATGACGTCTCTAAATACTCAATGCAATTTCACTGTGAACAATAAGTCCATTTCATAACAGCCACGTTTTGTGTTATCCTCTTCTCCCCCTCACCCTGGTGAATTGAGAGGTGACCCCAGCACAATCACATTCACTTACTTTAATTCCTTGTGATCCGTAGCCAGGGGGTCCAGGAGGGCCAGGCAAGCCTTTCTGCCCAATATCGCCCTGTTGGAAGGTGGGGAGAAATTAAAGACAAAGTGTAAGAAGATAGGGAAAGAAACAACACAGGCATTACTGCTCTCAGCTTCTTTCTTACTGAGGGTCTGATAAGGACTTTCACACTGCCCGTGAGCTACTTCCTATTTTACTTAAAGCAGCATTTTCCCTAATATTTTTAAGCCACAGAACTCTTTGCAAACCAAATATTACATATAATGCAAATATAAATAAAGAGGCAAGCAGAGCTGCTTGGCCTAAGCAGAAATGGAGAGCCCGGGGGACCTCATCTGCTTGGGTTCCCCTTGCTACCCTACCATGCAACCCCTGGAACACCAAGGCTGCTCTGCACCAAGTCTGAAAATCACTGACACATGACTCTACGTGGGTTTTAACATGTTGCTCCATTTCACTATGGAGCACCAATTCACTGGGGTTGCAGTTAAAGATTCATTAGATATCGATATGAATTAGTATTAGAATTTTTAAGAAAATGTGTAGATAAAGCAGTAAACATGTGCAGCATTTCCCAGTATGTGTTCATAAGCTGTTCCTATGTTTGTTGGAAAGACCACAGTGGAATAAAATTGGAAAACAGTATGTGCCTTAGTTTGAAGAGCTTTAGCGCACATTAATACAATATATTAAAGGCTCTAAGAAGTCCCACCATAAGTTTTAAATTAGTTTAATTTTGTTTGTGCCATACATTCCTAAATTAACATTGGACGGAAGAAACTTTGAGAAATGATGGGTTAACGTAAGTTACTGCATAAGTCAGTCTTTTTCTTCCCAGCATGAGAAAAGGTTGATTTTTTTCTCAATGTAAGAGGAATACTTGTCCATTGCAAAACAAACAAACAAAAAAAACCCCATATATTAAAAACAGAAATAAAGATGACAATATGAAGAAGAAAAATTGACCCATCTTTCCATCACCCACCCCCAAAATGTGCCAAAGGAAGGTCCTCTCGCCTTCTCTGGGGACAACTGATTTAGACCCTGGCACCAGCAGAGTGGATGTGGCACACAGAGCACAATAGACACATTAGCAGGTGACCTGTTAAAAGGCCACCTGAGCACTTCTGGCCAAAGATGTGCTTCTTGACTATGGCACAGCCTTTGAGAAGCCTGGCAATACTTTGAGTGCTTTGCAACTACTCAAAAGAGGCTGATGATCTCATTTCTTTTATAGAAGCAAATGGCTTTATAAACTTTAATGTTCTATTTTACTGGAAGTTTATATGATATGAAAAAATAAGGCTTTTCATCAGTAATCAAGAAAAAATAAGCGAACACCAAAATGAAGACATGCTATGAAGTCACTGTGTACTTGGTTGTCACTGATCTGACAGTATCTGACCCTCACACAGAGCACAGTCCTGAGGACTCACCTTTGGCCCTTGGGTTCCTATGCCCCGAGGCCCAGAAGGGCCTGGAGGGCCTCTGACCCCAGGCTCTCCCTGAAAAGACACAATGAATGACAAGTTACTGGGTCTTTTTTAAACTTTAGGTTGTATAATATTTCATATTAAAATATATTTCCAAAACTTGTATTTTTAAATCAAGACCCCCTTGTATTTGACCAAAATATTGAGCTCTTTTCTCCTAGATCACTTTATTGCCACTTAAGCAATCTTCAAATCAACTGATCCAGTCCCATTTCAAATCTATCAAGTTAATTAACTTCTTGACCAACATTAACATATACTTTTTTCAGAACTCCCTTCTCTAGATTTTAGAAAAATAATTACCATTATTGTGAATAGAGGGCTAAAAAGGCACAAATTAAAAAGCAGCCATTGGTTAAGAGATATAACCACATCCTGAACTAGTTGCTTTTATTATTTTATGCAACAAAGATTATGCTATATGAATTAGGGATTGGCTGGATGATATTTCTGCCGCTAGAGCGATTGGCACCACACAGCAAATTCTATAAAGGCTTTTCAGTCTCTCCAAGGCGTGACAGTTTCATAGCAGACAACTATTACCAGCAAATTGGTAGGACATGATGAGGGAAGGTCAGACCCTGTGGTTAGACCTACTTGAGCTGCTAATGGTGAGAAGCAGCAGAGAAATAAAAATCATTTCATTAGTCACATTCTGTATGCCCAACACCGTGCTGGGCATATTCATATACACTATTTGATGTTATTTAGTATTCACAACAATCCTGCATTACAATGATGTCTGTTCACCTAACTTTTCTGAACCTCATATATGTAGACAATAATATCTACATTTCATAGTGATAAGAATGAAGTGAGACAAAGCATACAATTGCTTCTATCAAAATGCCTAGCAGAGAACAGGTACTTCACAAACGTCAGCTTCCCACCACTTGCTTTATTAAAGAGGAAACTAAAGTTTGTCCAAGACCACACAGCTATTAATATATAGGGTTAAGAGGATGTAGAAAAGCAGGAACCTTCAGAATTGCTGTGTAGCCATTTGGAAAACACTTTGTCAGCTTCTTTAAAAGGTCAACATAAATTTACCATATGATCCAGCAATTTCACTAGTAGGTATACACCCAAAGAAAATGAAAACATATGTCTATACAAGGACCTGCAGATGAATGCCTTTAGCAGCATTAATCACAATAGCCCAGAACAGGAAACAACCTAACTTCCCATCAACTAGTGAACAGACAGACAAAACCTGGTAAATTCAGCAATAAAAAGAAACACACTATGGATACATGCTATGACATGGATAAACCTCAAAAATGTAATTCTCAATGAAATACACCAGAAATATTGTATGATTCTATTTATATGAAATGTCCAGGAAATCTATAGAAACAGAAAGTAGATTAGTGGTTGCCAAGGACTAAGGACAGGAAAATGGTTTAACAGTAAATCTTTCTGGGGGATGAAAATGATCTAACACTGATTTATGATAGCTATACAGCTTGGTAAATTCACTTAAAAAATCACTGAATTGTATATTTGAAAGAGGTGAATTCTATGATGTGTAAAATATGCCTCAATAAAGTTATAAAGAAAAAAGAAAGAACCAGAGACAGGCTTGAACCTACATCTCCTAATACCTTTGCCTTAAGTCGTGTTTTGTCCGTGTCCTGTTACAAGCTAAACAGCTTCCAGCTTTCAACAGTGCAGAAATCATGGATTAAAAGAAATGTCAAAAATGTTTATCTATAGAAACAGCCCATCTTTTAATTTACTTTCCACTTAGAAACTCTAAAATACTTCTAGATAAAATAAGGCCTTAAAAGAATGGAGGAAACTTTTAAACTACACTTTATTACAGAGTAAATTCTTTTAATCTCTACTTACATAATTATGTATTTCTCTTTTTTTTTACAGGCCACTTTTATGATTCTGGTCTCCTGTCTCCATCCCTTCCATTTGGTACTTAGCTGCTTTTGAGCCTACAGGTGCTAACTATCTCTTAACACCTCTCTCCCTCTGACTCCCATCTCTGAGTGTCCCCAAGTCCCGCCCTGGTTGAAGGATTACTCCAACTGCAAGAGCTCCACGTAGAGAACATGGTGCCCTGTACTGCGTACATTTCCATGGTCTCTTCTTTCTTGAGTACCTCTGAAGTGCCTTTCAGGGGAGTATCTGTACGTTCGCTGCCTGAGTGCTTCTGACTACACCTAACTGATTCACACACTTTGCTTCTTCGTCAAAGAGACGTGTCTTTTCTCTTCTGGACATTTTGACATCTTCCAACAAAGCAAAACATAGATGAACATAGTTAAATAGATTTTACCCAGAATCTTTGAATGTTTGATCAAAAATAATTGTCTTCTTTGCCTGGTCACCCCAACCCACCCCAGATTCTATGGCCTCCTCTCTTCTGCTTCTGTCCACCTGTACCTTTCCAAGATGAAGTGAAAAGGTTAGAAAGGATATGGCCAGACACCCTCTTCCTCCTGCTGTAATGTTGTGGGGAATACACAGCCCTCCTGTGAATATTCTAGCTAAGAAAAACTGACCTGGATTTGAACGGGTCTCCAGATGTACCAATTTACAATAATAGAAGATGGAGAAACACATTAACCACCACCATAAGGACACCATCAGCAAAACTCTGAAGTACAAAGAACACACCCACAAAGGAAGGGCAAGGACAAAACAAGGGAGGAGTAAATTTTGACTAACAGAGATTTAAGAGCAATCTCAAATACAATGTGTACACATGCTTTGGATCCCAATTCAAACAAATCAATTGTAACAAATGTATGAGACAAACTGGAAAATGTCCCAGGAATTTACTATATTAAAGACATGTTAAATTTTTTAGGTTTGATCATGGCACTGCCATTAAGTTTTTAAAAAGAGTTCTTACATTTGAGAGAAATAATAAAGCTTTATAAGGGTGATATTTGAAGATTGCTTCAGAATAATACAGTAAGGGAAAGAATGGGGAACAGATAGAACAAATTAACATGTTGACAATTGCTAAGGAAATGTGATGAGCATATGGGAGTTGATTTTACTAGTCTTTCTACTTTTGTGTATGTTTAATAATTTTCATGTAATAAATGTAATAACATTTTTAAAAATCCATAAAAATACCCCTTCAAACTCTCATCAATGAGCATGAGGAAATGTTTCTGTAATGCTCACCCTTAATAACAAGAATACATGATTTAAAAGATTTTTTAAATGGGCAATGGGAAGGAGCACACAGGTTGATTCAACATCATGAATGGAATTTATATGTGCTGCATGTATTCTTGGTATGTATCAAATATGACATAATTTTTTAAACTTAAGGATATGGAGAATCTTTTTATAAAGTAGTATTTGTTTAAGAAAGAATTTAATACTCTACTATTTAATTCATAATATTTTTCTGGTGATGATTTTAGTTAAAATCCATTCTTAATTAGTATTTATCATACTAACACACACACACACACAGGAAAAGCCAGTGGAAAAAACAGGTAAAATAAAGTCACAATCTACCTCAGGCCAGCCTCCTCAACACAAAATGAATAGAATTGCTATTCATTTTCTTCTTCATATTCTTTCTTACTTGGTTCCCTCTAACCCTTACCACTTAGGAATGTCTGAAGGCTAACTGCAATAGGACAGCAGACCCTTATTGTCCTTTCTGTCCTGGAGCCTCAGCCAATGAGTTTTAAGGGTGTGATCCCATGTCATCCATGGTACTTGTGCTTATCTTGAACAAGTTTTCCATCCTTATCTGTGTAATTGTTGACATACAGCTGTGTTTCATCTATCAGTATTTTGTATCTTTCAATCTATGGGGAAATGATATATGTACCTATGCTTTTATAAATCTGATAGATTTTAGATCAAGTCTTAACATTTCATAGATGTTTGAATTGGTCTATAACAGGCTAGGAGGGTTATTCTTCAGATATATGTACCATGCTTTCAACAGATGGAAATATTAGGCACTTAGCTATGACTCTAAAGATATAGTGTCTCTCCACTATGAGGGAATCTTTGAAAATGGATCATGCTTTTTGTTGTTCCATGGGTCATGTGTCCATGTTAGGCTGCCACACTTGAGAATATGAGCAAGAGAATGGTGGGCAGGTCTCACCCTACCACTTGACAACACTGGTTCTGCCATAATGCAGCACCATCAGTACCTAAGAAGTACATTGACTTGTAATATTTTCAGATACGCAGTTTTATGACAATGGATAGAGCAACATTCACAAATAAAGGACATTACAACAGGTTCTTATATATCTGGACTTAGCCTCCCATGCAACATCTGAGGGTTGTTGGAGCCTGCAGAGGGAGCCCTTGCATTAGGAGATAATGAGCAACCTGTGAGCAAATTTTAGAGCTGCTACTGGTAACGACATGCACCAATTTCACAGGACCAGAGCCTAAGCCCCACACCTCCCCTGCATTTACTCCCTCAAAAGGAGAATAACTGTTTAGATTGCCTACCACTTCCCGTTGGCCCACAAAAAGGATTCTAGATGAAAGATACTCCCTTCATTTTCACAGGAAATGGCCAAATGTAAGCTCATCTGCAGTACTTGTGTGTGTGAACTTAAATGATTCAGTGAAAGTTTCACCTAGAGTACAATCTCCCAGAGTGGTTAATTTTAACTCCTTTAAAAATAAACTTAAATCTTATGATGATTCTAACAGCCATACTTTGAAGCTTTCACATTTTAAAAGAAAAAAAAAGAGCAGAACACACTCACATGCACTCATTTTCTCATTATAAATCTTTGCTTTGGTTAATATTAACACTATTATAATAAATAAGTAAAAATCAACACTTATTAAGTTTATTAGGTGGCAAATACTGAAAATTCATTATCTTATTTGTGCCTATCGACAATCAACTTACTCCATGTTACAGATAAGGGAGTTGGAGCTAGAAAGGACATGCGACTTGCCAGAAACCATGCAGCCTGGAGCCATTCAAACCCAGACGGACTCCAGAGCCCATCCCCCATTTGATGGTGGCTGGGACTAGCAGCAAGATGCTA